TCGATGGCGACTCCTATTCAATTTAATTCAAATCAATTCAAAACCGTCAATTTTTCAAAATAAAATCATAATTATTTTTAAACTTAATTGTTTAAAAAATGGTTATGACAAAAAGATAACCGTAAAATGTATAAATATAATATTTTAGTCGTATTTTGATTTTTTGAGGAAGAGATCACGCTCTTGACAACTGCAACACATTACGTAACGTCAGCAACACCCGCAACTGTGACACCGCAACAAAATCCACAACCGCAATTTGATACTATGCTTGAGCCTTTCAATCGACTACTATCACCACTGCCTCCTTTCAAACAACTACTACCACCACTACCTCGGCCATCCACATGCCAAGTCTATCGCACGTGTTGGACCAATCGCCACTGGGAACATGATCTTCCAAACTGAAAGCATGGTTGCTCTTCTCTCTGTCGTCTCTACCGCCGTGCTTCACCAGACCCTCTATTCCACCACCCGCATGAAACTCTAAGACATCCTCAAACAGAAATGGACCAATGAAAGAGGCAAAAACCATGCCTCTCACGCAAAATCGCCGCCATGCTAAACAAGTGCGTGGATATAAAAAATGCTTACAAAGTAAATGAGTTATTGTTCGTAGTTGAATGAGTTATTGTTCGTAGTTGAATGACCAAACAAGAAAAACACCGAACTTAATTGTTGCAATCCAAAATGATCATACAATATGGAATCCTACACGATAAGACTTAGAAACAATGCTATACACTCTCTACATGGAGATAGTTTCATACGGCAATGCAAAATCAAACATTAAATAATTGTCAGAATCGGATTATCAGCAACAACCGCTCGCGGCTGCATCAGATTGTGGCGGCTTCTGTTTGAAGATGTTCTTTTTCACACCTTTGGTGCCCTCCGCCAAAAGGCTCAGAGATTCCAGAATCAGCACTCTTTTTTAAATAGCTTAATGCCCAAATAAGTGCCCAAACTATATCTTTGTACCAAATAAGTGCCTACATTTTTAAGTCCATTCGGGTGCCTAACGATATAAACGTTACCCCTTTAGGTGTCCGGGCTGTTAACGATGTTAGTTCTCCTCGTTAAGTGACACATGTCACAACATGATAATTTCTAAATTTTTTTTAAAAAAATTTAAAAAATAAAATTATATATTTTAAAAAAGTAAACATAAATTTTGAAATAACCCTAAACTTTAAAAACTTCATTTCAACCCCTAAACCCTATCAAAACCTGATGACCTATCAATGACTAATCGACGTTTTAAATATTGTGAACCTTAGGATGAAAATCGCGATCTCACGCGATTCTGACAGTAATCTGCGACAACTATGGTGGCATATAACTAGGATAATGGCAAGGACTATGTCAACGGCGGTGGTCGTGTGCGGAGAGGGCGGCGACGGCGGATTAAGGTTAATATTTGGGATGTAGGGGCTATTTTATAATATAAGAAAAGTTAGATTTTTTTTTCATAAATATAATAATATTTTAAAAAAAAATAAATTTCAAAATTATCAGGTTACGAAACGTATCACTTAACGGAAAAAACTAACCTCGTTAACTACCCGGACACCTAAATTATTAACGTTTGTAATGTTAGGCACCAGGATAGACCAAAACAATGTAGTCAGTTATTTAACACAAAAGGTATAGTTTGGGCGCTTAGTTCCTTTTTGAATATATAAGAGCAATGAGGAAGAGTTCAAGCAAAACGACAAATATCTGCCTAAACCAGGGAGGTAAGTAATGGTTGATATTTCAACTGCCAGCGTTTTATCGGAATTGACTGCTACAGAATAAGATGACAATATTATTGGATGGTGTCATCATTGATATTTGATGTAATTATGTTGTATGCATACAAATCCAAACATGGAAGTAAACTGATATAGGAAGAATTAAAAAAAGGGGAACCTTCACAAACTGACACTCAATGTTTCCCCAACATGCCCATACACATAACAAAACCTTCAAATTGGATATTGAAAAGAAGTCGAAATATAAGCATATGTCATAAAACTTACAAGTTAAACAGACCGTGTCAATTGTGTGGTATGCATACCCTTGTCTCCGTTATGTGTATTTCGCCTTTTGAAAATTTATCGTCTTTTTGTTAAACAGGCTTAGACATATCAGGCCATTTTCACTCCTTAATTCTCTATCTATATAAACACCGGTTTCATGAACTTCAGATTTTACACTAAGCTGCACATTTGGTTTAGGAAAAGTAAGATTAGCTTCAATAATATGATTCTTCCCTAACAAGATTACTTAAAATATTACCGGTGATATTAAATGCTTATATTTGGTTCAGCTGGTCAGAATGTTAGATTCCCGTATTTGATTGCATGAATGTAAGCCTTACTATAACGTCAAAAATATTCCACAAATTCAACTATGGGAGGAATAATAGTGGAAAAGAAGGTTTCACATATAGATGTAAATTTCCAAAGACGTTCCAACTAAATCAACATTTGTTCCATAATTTCTAATCCTGTCCTTTACGTCCTAATGCCTAACCACTCTCCAGGTTTTGTACTCTTTTGCAAAACAAAAAGACAATCCCATTTTCAATCAACCCTTCAGCCCTATAAACTCCCGGAAGTTCAGTACTCCGAAAACAATTAATTCCAAAATGTCAAAACAAAACATAATGCTCAGCATTAGTTTTTCTCTCTGGAAGAAGCTGAAATCAATCAAATTATTTACAATTAAATTTAAATGAAAAATCAAACAATTCAACTCGGATTTTATAAACTCAACTCAATTCATAAAAAATTCAAATAAAGTTTAAGTTATAAAGTAGGAATCGTCAACTTAAATTTTTTTGACTCGACTCGATCAAATACTCATCACTACCATTGATCGACTAACGATCAACATATGTTGCCGATGTGATATTTTCACGTGTGATTAATTATTAACGTGCTACGCACCATGTAATCACTTTGAATGGCGTGATATATTTTACATTGTCACCTTAAGTGACAATGTACATTCCACGTCATTATCTTAGGTGGCATGACATATTCAATGCCATCACTTTGAGTGATGTAGTAAGTATCACACTATTACTTTAAGTGATGTAGCATATTTCAAGCCATAACTCTAGATGACATGATATAACTAGGGATGGACATAGGTCGGGTTTTCGACCAACCCGACTTGACCCCAAAACTATATACCCTCCACCCGAAATCCAACTCATATAAGATTTAAGATGATTTTATTTGACTTGAATCCGACCCGCCTTTTTTAGATAAAACCCGAACTAGAACCTAATCCGAAACAAATATATTTATAAAAACATTAATTTTTTTATAAAAATAGGGATCTAATTGAAAATAAATAATATAGAGAGGGGAATATTGCAATTATTCCTAAATATATAAGGTATAATTATATTATTTTTTTGGTCGGTTGAGTCAAATATTTTCTTTCAAAACCCGAACTCAAGATGACTTGAACATATCCTATAAAAAAACTTGACTCGAACCAACCCAACCCCATTTTTTTAAAGAAAACCCAACCTAATAGGATAAAGCCCAATCGAAGTTCGGATCACATGCCTATCCTTAGATATAAAACATTAATAACTTAATACATATAAAAATCTTATGTGAGTAACATACTTTTACCATTAGTCAATTAAAGGTTTCATTTAAGAAAAGACATTTCAGTTATAGACGTTAAGGATTAATTTTAAGGTTATGTCAAGTGGGAAAAAAGGGTAAATTACGCGTTTAGTATATAAATTATCAGTTTTGATACGTTTTAGTATTTAAACTTTTAATTTTTCAAACCCATACCTAAAGTTTAGTTTTTGTTTCATTCTAGTACCCTGTTCAAAATTTAAAATTAACGTTTAAAAAAATTGAAAGTTTAGGTACTAAAACATATAAAAAAAATGATAGTTTAGGCACTAAACGCGTTAAGTTTTTAACAGTGGGATATTAAACTGAAACAAAAACTAAAGTTAGGTATGGTTTAGAAAAAAATTAAAAGTTTAGGTACTAAAATTGATCAAAACTGATAGTTTAAGTATTAAATATGTAATTTACCCTAGTAAAAATACAGTTTTAATTAATAAAGAGGATGAATCAGACACTTTGAAATCCTATTTCCTTACTTGTTAAATCTTTAAAATTTTCATTAGAAATTAGAGTTGAAGTTGAGGAAATGGCAAAAAATGAGGGGATTCAAGGCCACCTAATATATATATATATATATATATATTCTCTTTCTTTTATCGTTTTTCTTAGATTCCCTTTCTTCAAATTTTTGCATTTCTCAGTGTTTGCCTAGCACTTTCAAGGATTCTCTTCGTTTTATAATTGTTAATTCTGGAGTGTAGTTCTTGTCTATGTATAAAATATCGTTGATTAACAGGAACAATTAAGAAAGTAGAGCACTGATTAGGGCTGTAAACGAGCTGAGTCGAACTCGAGTATTGCTGAGCTCGACTTGAACTCGAAAAGTTTAAAATTAGGCTCAACTCGACTCAAAAACTTGTGAGCTAAAAATTATCAAGCTCAGCTCGAACTCGATTCAAATTCGAACTCAAATTCGAATTTAAACCTACAAAAATCTTATATTACATTTAAGAATATACTTTTAAAAATCTATAATTATTAATAATGCATTTATAATAATGTAATTTTAAAAAATCTAAAATTATAATATAATATTTTTTCGAGTAGCTCGCGAACTTTTCGAGTCGAATATTAAGTAGCTCGTTTTAGCTCGTTAAGAATTCGAGTCGAGTTCATTCGATTCGAGTGTTGATCAAGCTTTGACTGAGTCGATCTCGAGTAGCTCACGATCTGTCTCGTCTTATTTACAGCCCTAGCACTAATGTATAACTTTGTTTTTCTTAAATTTGGGAAATTTGAGGATTTTTTTCATTTAAACAAGGAGGACCCATAGATAGAATTCAAAAAGAACTGAACATTTTTTTCACAGAATTCTACACTGGCTAGATAAGTTCCAGCAACTCAAGTAACAATATGCTATAATTTTTTGTTCTCACATCAGAAATTCACAACTTTACACCCTAAGGTACAATGTTAAGAACAGAACAACCTGGAAAACAAGTAGCTATGGCAGCCCTGAATAGTATCAAGTAGAGGAGCGGTTTGGCAAGCATCCTCAACCGGACGGTCCATCCATTTCTTGAACAAATCTTCAGCAAGAGGAGCAATCCGATGCTGCAACACGGCAGCACCCATAGGTCCAACCAAATTCAACCTCGTCGCAGCTGAAATGACATCTCTCATAGTCATAAACATGTAAGCTCTTTGACTCGTTCCACTATCCATTCCTAAAAGTCCACAGATGAGCCCAAAGATCGGAGCATGGTGGAAAGAAACAACCCCAGGAGAAGCAATGGAGACATCCCTCATGGATTTAAGTGAAGGGACTTCAGTAAAAACAGAGACGGCCACTCGCATGAGAGAAGATCCTTGTGAAACCGATGCCTTTCGACCCACTTCATTGGTTAAAGTCGCATTGAGGATCCTGTCGAGTTCCTGCCAGTTCTCTAAAGTAGGGTTCGTAGTTGTGGAGTAAATGAAAGGGAGGAACAAACTACCTGTGTTCTCTAACAAATGAATGATGAAAGTTCTGAGATCATCGGGGCCTGAGACTAAACGTGATTGAATTGCAGCCTCGAGACCAAAGGAATGAGCAAACCCACCGGTAGGAAGAATAGAATCTAGGAGCTGCCATTGGCTCCACTGCAAAGTAGAGTCTATGGGTACATCTCGCTTCCTTTTCTTCTCCGTTTCAACCAAATCTTGGTCCATCACAAACAAAACTGTTAGCAAACAATCCTCTCTTATGGACTTTCGGGATCCTTTTTTGTGGAGAAAAGGTCTGACTGGTGAATAAAAGAAAAGTCAAAATAATATATACAAATTCAAGTTATATATGGTGTCACTGTGACACGACAACTTTTTACCAGGATTCAAGTTATATAGCACAAAAACAGAGAAGGCAGCAATCATTGAAAACCCACTTCCATCATATATGAATCTTAAAATCCAAGAGGAAACAGATATAATACATTAGCAAACTTCAGGTATTACCTGTATCCCAAATTGCAAGATTCAGCTTTTTATCGCCAGCATTTGCATATTTCACTTTAAAATCAACACCTACACAAGAACATAAGTAGATTCTAAATCAGGGCATCAAGATGTAAGCAGATTAGTGATTCCTGTAATCACTGTGAATGGATTGAAGGCTTACAGAAATTGAATAGTTTAACCAAGAAGACGCTTTAAGATCACTATTATTGATTTCGGATAAAAATATCTGTTTTCCTAGTCTACTGTCTTACCATTCACTCATCCTATTTCCTTTTTCTATTTACCAGAAGACAACAAAATTATCCAAAGAACCAAAAAAAAAACCAAGAAAATGTAATCCACATTTCTCGCAAAACATGATTAATTTCACACATACAGCATTAGAAATCCAATGGGATGGTTTAGATCGATAAAAATAGAAAATTACGAGTCACAAAAGCATCCATACAAAAGTAAAATCATATATATTCTTTTATCAAAAAAGTAAGTTATTTTTTCAACTTTCTTCAAAATTATTTATGCTATTCCGCCTTTTAATCTGAAAAAGAAAAGAGAAGGAAGCCTATACAGATTCGTGATCCACGGATTAAGACACTGCCATTATAGATTGTAAGACATAAAAATGGAAATATCGTTGAAGAGTGCAGTTAAAATTCAAACTGACCAATAGTGGGAGAGAGTTCCTCAAAGGAATCGGAAGTGAAGAAGACTACTCTTTCCGACTCCTGAATCTCCTATCATCAGCAACTAGAACAAGTAATCGAAATCCGGTTGATTCGATTCTAATTAATTGACCAAATAAACTATCTTCAAAATAATTCTTTCAAATAACGCCAAATTTCTACGGTCGGATCCCCAAATCCAGCCCTATCTCTCTATTTTTCACCTATCAACGAATCTAAACCTGAAAAGCAACATGACATCATATCATAAATATCGATTTGGATAACAACTAGATAAAAGCTTAATCTAACAAGATCCTATTTTTTATCACAAAAATGAGAAAAAGTTCTTAAGGTTTAGATCATTATCGATCATAAATATTTATAAATTTTATTTTATATATCAAAATTAAAGATAATAGGAGAGATTACCTTTCAAGAGAAAAAAATAAAGTGAAGAGAAGATGAAACCGTGGACGAGAGAGCGACCCAGAATCTGAAGGATTAATAGAAGAATGCAAAAATAGAGAACTCTCAAAGTTTAACTTAAAACTTGTAAATGCTCCTGCTCCCTAAATAAAAGGCTAAACTACGCTAGTGGTCACTCATGTTTGGAGTAGTTTTCGTTTTCACCACTAATGTTTAAAAAGTTACAAATCGATCACTAACGTTATTGTTTGTTACAAAATGGTCACTCGACGTTAACACCCGTTAATAGACATGACGGAAAATACAGCTGGACCGTTATATGCTGACATGGATTGTTGACCGCCACAGCTAGACCATTTTGACTGACTCTTCTTCTTCTTCTTCTTCAACCCAACCCATCTTCTTCCTCAACCCAACCCCGTCTTCTTCCTTAACATCATTTTGCGCACACACCATGCAAGACACACTCCCTTTTATCCCAAAAACAACCCTTTCCCTCCCTTGCTTTTACACTAATACCATGATTTCCATGTTTTGCATAACTTCAGACATTCTACTGTTGGGACCTAGAGATAAAATATCAGTCCCTTTAGACATTCTACTATACGAACTGCCCCCATAAACACGTAGCGGTGTCCAACCAGAACTTTCTACACGTCTTGGCGATTTCGATTTCTTCTTCTTGTACTTAAACATTAGTAGAACTGCAGCCACAACCAAACAACAGATAATAAAGGCACCAACAATAAAACCCACCAAAATCCAAATGTTTTTCTTCTTAGACTTAGCTTGCAAACCTATAGGATTCACAAACTTCATGATCTCAGCCCCATTTAGAATCGCATTAATTTTCGAAGGAGTGCTTGAATCTGAAGGTCCAACACTCACACGAATAATCCAGAAATGCAAACCCATAATCACCCAGAGGACTAAACATGATTTCAAGAACTTTACCATCAATTCTCAGCAAAAACTCTTTTAGCACAGTATTGTAAGCACTAAAACCACATAGTAACAAGAAGCCATTAGTCAAAACATCGAATTTCGTAGAAGCCATGTTGAAATTTTGAGCTATAAACGAAGAGAAATAGAGGCGTACCAAGTGAGTATCATTCCCGTTCTGCTTGACGTCGAACTCATAGCTCGAATTAGAGGTGGAAACCCGAGCCGTACGGTATAAAATGGGTGAACTCGGAGATGGGTTTCTGTCAGTGAGTGAAACGGATCGCTCAACCGAGAGGGAAACCGAAATGGGTTTCACTGAATCAAATATGAAGACACGATTATAAAGGGAAGCGTTGGCATTTGATCCACAGTTGAGGTGGAAATTATTTTTAGGGATGAAAGATTTAGCTAAGTAAATGAGTGAAAGGAAAGTTAGAGCTAAAAGGTGAAGCCTTTGAGCATCCATGGAAGGTCACAGAAGAAGGGGAGAAAGCTTTTGAAGAAACTGGGTCATTTAATGGTGATTTGGCCATGGAAGTTGATGGTTTTTCTGGTGATATCTGAAAGTATTTCTTTTTGCATAATTTCTATTACCTTATGTCCACTTTGCATAACTTGTATTTTCATATGTTTGACGTTACCTTTGTTTTCTTTTTCCTGTTAATCATATTCTTTTCTTATCAGGAGTAACCTAATCAAGCAGGGAAATCATGGTGGTGGTGATGAAGCAAGGGAGGGAAAGGGTTGTTTTTGGGGGATAAAAGAGAGTGTGTGTCTTGTATGATGGTGTTAAGGAAGAAGACGGAGTTGGGTTGAGGAAGAAGATGGGGTTGGGTTGAAGAAGAGGAGTCGGTCAAAATGGTCTAGCTATGGCGGTCAACAATCCATGTCAGCATATAACGATCCAGCTGTGTTTTCCGTCACGGCTGTTAACATCGAGTGGCTATTTTGTAACAAACGATAACGTTAGTGATCGATTTGTAACGTTTTAAACATTAGTGGTGAAAACGAAAACTACTTCAAACATAAGTAACCACTGGCGTAGTTTACCCAATAAAAAATTACTTGGATGGTTTCTTTTTTTTTAACAGCATGTGACTATTCCATATGGTTAAGTCGAGTTAAATTAAAAAAATTAAATTGAGTTAGTTTTCTTTGAAATATATTTAAATTTATTTTTAAATTTATATAATTATTTATAATATTATAAAACATATTAATACTAATTTTAATTTAAACATTCCATTGTAATTATATAAGATATACACATTTATTTGACACAATATTAAAATCAGTACTTTTAATCCTTATTTTTGAAGCATCTTAACCCTCAATGTTTTAAAATTTGATCAAAATGACCCTTATTTGAAGGAAATTATTGATTAAGGGTGAATAAAACTCGACTCAAAAAAATATTTGTTTACTCGATTTGATGTAAAAACTTGACTTAACACGAATCGTACGTTTATAAATTTGACACAATTTTTTTTTGAAATAATGTTTAAATTATAAAATAGAACTCAAATAACTATTTTTTTTAATAATTATGGATTGATTTTCAAATTCAAGTCAATGTTTTTCAATTCTACAAGATATATGTATATTGCATATGAACAAATACTTATGTATATCATATAAGGTTGTAGAAAACTATTAAAATTTAAATCAGTTATAACATTATAAAAATTTACAATATTAAATTTATTAAAACTCGAACAATTCGACTTGAATTTTATAAACTCAACTAAATAATAATAAAAAATCCTAATATTTCATTTTATAACTATAATTATTCACGTATTATATAATAATTAACTCAACTAAAAAATACATCACTAATATTAATTTATACATCAAATTCTTCAAATTTAGGCATGCAATCATTAATTTATTAAATTGTAACCCTAACTCTGTTGAAATATTTTGAAAATTAAAATTTTGTAAATGGTAGAAATAGGTGTAACACCTCAAATTCTAAACTAGTAGTTTTGGGTCTACCCGAAAGGTAAGTGGACACTGTAGAGTTTATAATTCAAGTCGTTGGGCTTAATTGGGTTGGTCTTTGGCCTAGTTATCCATAAAGAGAAGATTTTTGCAGAGTAAAGGATGAGGAAGGACCAACAATATCTCTTTTTAAAAGATGAAGACTTTTATTCTCTTCATCTTCTCAATTTCTTCCTCATTTCTTATTCTGTCTCCTTCCTCATCCTCTCCAAGGTACATAGCATAAAGGTAAGATTTTGAACCCATTTTCATGCTTCAAATTTGTTCTTAATTCCCTCATTAACATCAGTAATAGATAAAGCTTTGGGTTATATGTTTGTAAAAGAAAATTTGGGGTTTTCATCCAAGCAATGAAGAATATTGATTTTTAGCTAAAAGAGCTCTATTTCGGGATTCAATCATCAAGGTAGTGTATTTCTAATCCTTTGGAGTATTAAGTTTCCATAAATTTCAAGAAATTGCTAAGATTCATACACTTGAGCATGTTTAGGGTTTATCTTTGATTTCATGATTAAGCTGTATTTTAGGTGTTAAAAATGTGTTTTAAAGATATCTTAAGATCATAAACAGCTTACTAAAACTTCAAAACAAGATTAAAAACCAAATAAAGTCATTTAAGATGATTTTGGGTGATTTTTTGAGCCTAAAATATTAATTTTAGGGTTCGAGTATCAATATTAGGATGAACGGTATCAATACTAGTTAAATTTGGGCTAAAATTAAGGTTTTCAAAGGGTAGTATCGATACTGCAAGGGTGAGTATCGAATTGTCCTTATAGTACGATACTGAGGGTAGCAATATCGATACTGAGGCCCCATTTTCGTAGCAGAATGCATTTTTGGTACCGGTACTCATAGGGGTATCGATACTTGACCATATGGTATCGATACTACATCTAGATTATCGATATTACCCTCTTTCTATGATCATTTTTGACCCGATTAAGGTCCATAAGAGCTTGGGATGGTCCGTAAGGAAAAGATTAGTCCAAGAGGGACGTAAATGGCCAAAGAGGTCTAGAGACACTAGTAGGAGTGGGTTACAACCAGTGTAGCCATAACAAGTATAATGCGTTCAAGTATCTTTAGTTTGCACGTAACAAATATTCATGGATGGGGGATCAGTTCATAGGGTGTACCGACGAGAGTTGTGACCAAGTGATTAGATTATGAGAAAGTAGTGTCATACACCGCAAGAACAACCAATAGTATTGGACGTACAATTATTCTTTTAATTTGAGGACGAATTGAAGGAAAGTGGGATTTGTGAATAGAGCATCACTACCTAGAAAAAAAACTTGAGTCAGATACTGGGCCAACTAGAACCATATCAGTAAACAATAAAAACAGTAATCACCTTGAAGTCTCAAAACGTGTAGAGACTTCTATAGAGTCAAAGAATGAATAAAATATCCTTGAGTAGTGTATAACTAAAACATTATAGATTATCAGAAATAATAAACTAGTAACTTATCACCTAACTTCTAGATTGGAGAACGAGCGAGTTAACAACTAGGGTAAATAGTAAAAGAGATCAGTAATAACCCATAACAACTAGAAAAATAACAATACAAATCTAAACAATAACAGTAATAGCTAGAAACATTAATAGATAGAATGTCATAAAACTAGCCATTGTATGACATTTGAGAAATAGCTAGGACACCCAAGTTACTTTGGCAGTAGGCGATTATCTTGTTTGTCAGTATGTCCAAGTATATACCAGTTATTTCCAAGGCACTTCTTTTTCCAGCTACATGCAGATGCCCTAAGACCCGACGGAGTAAGTTGGTGGGTGTACGTTTCTGATACAGATTTCAGATCTCACCCTGATGTACCCGAAGGTATATCTGTAGGTTAAAAGGGTGCATGTGCTCCGAGATGCAGATCCCTCAGCCGCACCATGATGCCTTCCATAATTTTATGTTTGTTTTTATGTATCATATATTAGTATCTGGTAAGCTAGATTGGTGTGTGAGCTTCAAATGTAGCCCCTCATCCACACCATGATGTCTAACTAAACTAGTGTATGAGTCACAACAGAGTCAATATTACGTTAAGATAATGCATAGTAAAACCATTGTTGCATTAAGATAATATACAATAGAGTTAGTATGGCATTCATATAATGCACAG